GGGAGGGCGCAGGATGGGCGGAGGGAGACAGGGTGCGGGGGGAGGGGGTGGGGGGGGGGGCGTCTCCTTCCTGGGATGCAGTCAAGCGATCATCTGCCAGGGATGCTTGAATTTGGGTTCCCTCACTGAGCAGGGAGTTAGACTGGATGGCCTTGAGGCTCTGTCCTCTTCAAGGATCCAAGGATCCTTATGAAGGTAGAAGTTGCTGAGCCTCCATCCTTCTCCCTATCCAGTCCTTGGAGTTGGAGAACAAACATCTGCAGGAGGGGGGTTGTTGTACTTATAGGGAACCCTAATCCTGCATAATACAGCAGCCAGATCTTTTGGGGCCCCAGAGCATTTCCACAGAAGGCTTTGGGGCCACTTCTGAATCAATGATAGGCCCCTTGGCTCTCCCACTGCTATGATCCAGCAGATTTCCTTCCTCCTTGGCTGCCCAAAATCTCATAGAATCATAGGATCTTGGAGATCAAGTCCAATCACAAATGATAAAACTTCAGTTTGGTGATCTGAGTACCTAAAGCTCTGAAGGCCCACAGGTTCCCCACTGGCAGAATTCACCCCATGGCTGCCTTTGGGCTCACTATTGTTCCATATCTCCATCTCAGATGACTTCAGAGGCCACACTGCTGTTAGGCCAAGCTACAGATCTTGGTTTTCTGTTTATTGTCCTTATTTCCTCAGGTGGTCAGGCACAAAACCTTGGGGCGGGGGGCAGGTGCTGCTGGAGGCCAGGTTTTGTGCTGTCCTCTTGGTCAACTGGAGGAATGGAGGTTTGGCCATTCACACAACATGGCTGCAGTGAGTCCTGTCACAGACTTGCAAAAATGGCCCTGAGGAGTGTTTAAAGCGAGTGTTGAGAGGTGAAAGACTGCGTGAGAGGAGGAATCCTTACAAAGGGAGAGGATGTGCACTGAAGGAGCAGAGGGAACCCATGGGCGCTGTCACAGAAGAAACTGGGTGGTCTCTTCTCTTGGGAGGTGCAATCAACTTCTGCACTAACACATATGAACAAGAAATTTAACCAAGCTGGATGAGAGATGGAGTGCTGCAGATGGGAGATGAAAAGATTATCCCAAGGTGCAGGCAGATAGGCTTCTGCTCCCACCTGAGAACTTGGGTGAGACTTGTGTAAAGAGGTGTGCATTGTACACTGGGGTGGAGGTCATACAGCAAGGCCTGGTGGTCCTTACAACTTCTCTTCAGTAGCATCATCTGGAGCGGGGGAGACCAAGCTCTCGGCTGGAGCACCTGAAGTTCCTTCTTACATTCAGGGTCATGAGTGACCAACCCACCTGTAATCTCGGAAGGTATAAGCAGGGGGCTCTTTCCAACACTCGTTGGCTTCTGGGTCCAGGAGACAATTGTCCGCATGGATTGGATGGCTCAGATCATTCCTCCGTTCCTGCTGACCTGAACAGGCCAAGAAAAAATGTGATATTCAGTCAGCAGCCTGTTCCTTCAGAAGAAGGTAGACCACAAAGGATTGTTTTCCAGACCAATTCCAAATCTCTAAGAGGGGCTGTGGTAGCTCCAGAGGTGCAGTCAAGAATGTTCCAGGGGGATAGAAGAGTCTGCAGTTGAACCAAACCAGAATGTTTTCGGGGCCCTAGAAGTCTGGCCAATGCCCAGAGGCAGAAGTCTTGGTGGACCAGAGGAAGATACCTTCTGCTCCACTTGAAGGGCAGGGAAGAGAATCAACCTCATTGTGCATGGAGGCCAAATTTGTCTGTTTGCAGTGAATCGATTGCCAGTTTCTAGAGCAGTGTTTCTCAACCTTGGCCCCTTGAAGATGTGTGGACTGCAACTCCCAGAACTCCCCAGCCAGCATGGCTGGCTGGG